TAACCCATGGTCATCATAACAAGACCGACATCTGCGGAACTTAAAATTGTGCTGCACTTTTAAGCTTGGATTTATCTACCAAAAAACATTGCTTAGTTGATTAGTGTATGATTTTGGCATAAAGGGCCGTGCCCTCACGTGGTTCGGATCATACCTATCTGATTGCTGTCAGTACATTTAACAAGGTTCCCACTCTCTGTGACTTGCTGGCCTCTTTTATTTCACAACAGATGTCACACTCCCAACTTAAATATTATCTCTAGAATTGACATTTTTAGTCATCCCAACGCTGATGGTACTTGCCTCTATACAGTCATTTCCAAGTCAAACATCACTTCTCAGCTCGACAACTTAAGCGCATGTACACAAGTGATTGGAGACTAGAATCTTTGTAAATATCTTCAAATGAACCCAAAAATTATAAAATATTTTATTTAATTTCAGGGGTGTTGAACGTCAAAATTTAAACTGCTGCTTTGTAAATTGTTACCCGAAGAAAATAAAAAAAATTAATAAAAACTCATTAACAAATTTTCTCAGTCTGTCAAATGCACTATATTTTTATAAATACAAATTAAAATCCTTATTTGAAAAAAGAATTTAATTTATGTGAAAAAAATCGTATATTGAATGACCAAATAAGAAGTTCAAAATCCTTTCTATATAAAAGCGTTCAACAACTTGGCAAATCATAAAATTAGTTGTGCATATCCTGGCAGTTTGATACTCAAAAGATTATTAACGTGAAGATTAAAAAAAAAACACCAGACGAAGAGGTAGATAAAAAATCTAATGTTGTGAAAAATTTTTTTCTTGGATTCATTTTACAAGAACAATTAACTTGTGAAAAATTAGAGAAAGCAAATTTTAAAGAATTTAAAGCTACAGAGTGAAATTTAAATTAAATTATAGGTGTAACGTTAATGAACCTAGCCTACTATCTAAATTCATATAAATATACATCTCAGTGATTGATGAGTAAATAAAAAATTATTGTCAGCATATAAAGACCAACCAAAGCTGTAAAAATTAAAATATAGTTATTGTAAAACTAATAAATTGAATAACCCTGATTGAACTGGCATTTCGAAAAAATTAATAATTGAGATTATTGGTTAACTAACTTAAAATGTAGGATATAAATAGTAATAAGAAATCAACATATTTAGTTACTAATTGGAGTAAATAATTTTTCACCAGCCATTTGAAGAATTGAAAAAATACTGAACATGTAAGAGTTCCTAACTAGAATTAGTTTAAAGCATTGGATAATTGCAAGTTATTTCAAAAAAGCTGAAAAACTAAAATGAATGCTAAACTGGGGAATCAAACCAGGAATGCTGATCAAATGTCCGAATTATAAGAGAAGAAATTATACTAGCGTGTAAACAACTGACTGCAGCTATAAAATAGTAGAAAAGTGTTGCAGACTCCTAACCACGAAAGTGCTAAAGAATAAATAGCAGAAATTCTCAATTAATGTATAATTATTGAATTGAATAAATAAAAAATTTCATTTAGCATTTCTGGAACAATTTTCTGTCCTTCACATGTGTTATATATTACCTGAAACTGAAATAATTATTATAACATTATCAATAAAATAATTGTACTTATAATTGTGAAATCTAAATCAAGTGAAGCAAATTTTTATTGTCATTTTCTACCTATCACTGACGTTCCTTGCTTAAACTCAATTCCTCCAGAATTTTTGGAAAAAATTTTTACACAGAGATTAAAATATTCATCATTAGCCTTTCTTTGTTTTTCTAGTTTCTAATTTTTATTTAA